TGCTTTATAATTCACGCAGCACAAAGTGCAAAACCAGCACACGGCAATATATGCTCTCCACGTTGTCCAGTTCTTAAATGTGATCTATAAATTACATAAACTTTAAATAGATGCTCCGCTATCACCCAGCACGGTCCTTAGAGCAAGTAGCACCCTACTGCGTGAACAAAAGAAGTTTTTGATTAAAATTATTTTTTTTACATGTATGTGACTTCCTTGGTGCAAAACACCTTTTTTTGAAAAATATTTGGAGCCCAGGCACTTTTTTAAATACTGAACTGAATCCCCAGTTCTTCCCACATTTTTTTATTTGGAAATTTGAAACCTCTGTATATCCCTTCCTACTAAAAAAAACCCCCTCAAAGTGCTCTCCATGAAGTTCTACTCCAGAGGTCTTCAAACTTGGCCCTTTGATGACTTGTGGACTTCAACTCCCAGAATTCGCGTGCCTGGCTGAGGAATTCTGGGAGTTGAAGTCCACAAGTCATCAAAGGGCCAAGTTTGAAGACCCCCGTTCTACTCCATTAACCGTAATGTTATTTATTTTTTGTTTTTCAACAAGCAAAAGTTGGAATTGAGGCACCTAACGACGATCCAGAACTATCTTCGGACCGCTCCTGAGTCAACGCACCTGATTGCTTTCGAGGCGTTGATGATCTCCTTGATCCTTGGCACTCCTAAGGTGATGTTCATGGAGGCCACGCCGGCAAAATGGAAAGTCTTCAGAGTCATCTGCGTGCCGGGCTCCCCGATGCTTTGAGCACAAAGGGCTCCCACTGCCGAGCCAGGCTCCATCTGCGCCCTGAAGGTAACATCCCAAAAAACACATTGATTTCCGTTCATTCCACAACTTGATGCTGCCTTGAAAACACACCCCAGTTCTGGAAAGACCCAGAGTCACATTCCCTTGTGTCAAATGGAGATTCTCAGTGCGGCATTCGAGACTCTGCGCTTGCCTGAAGCGGAGTTGAACCTGCGTGTCCAAAAATGGACACGAGGTTATCAGTCTTTGGGAAAAGACGATCAAAACGAGGCACCCGAGGCAATTTCGTTCCACCGCCTCTGTAATTTCAGAAAGTACCTTTGCAGTGTCTCATTCCTCATGTGTAATCCATAACCTGTTCTCCTAAATCTCTATGGAGATTGTCCAGGTCCTGGTTGTCCCAAAGGTGCTTTTTTTCCATGAGGCAACTGGAGTTTCTTGTTTTTCTTTGAAGACGTTTCGCTTCTCATCCAAGAAGCTTCTTCAGTTCTGACCGGATGGTGGAGAACGGAAGGATTTATACTCCTTGCAGTCATCTGGTGTAATATAAATCCTTCCATCCTCCACCATTTATACTCCTTGCAGACAGCCGGTCATTTGCCTTCTTTTAGAGAGTCGCTGAGGCCACTTGGAGGTTTACCTGTCTCCTCAGGGTCACCTGAGTGGTGCAAATGGGTGTGGAGCTTTCTTGGAATTGCTGAAAAGACTGTGTTGTGGACTGGAGATAGACGGTGTCGTATCCCTCCCCCTCTGTTGAGAGAGGGTTGAAAAGACAAAGGCCGCTCTTTCGAAGACAGCAATGTCCACATTTTGGACCGAGAGGACCACTTGTTTGAAAGAGAGGTCAAAGAGGCCATCTAGGTCAAAACTAAACAGCTCTCTCTCAATAGAGGGGAAGGGATACGACACCATCTACCTCCAATCTACAACAGAGTCCTTTCAGCAGCTCCAAGAAGGCTCCACACCCATGTCCATCACCCAGGTGACCTTGAAGGACACAGGTAAGCCCTCCAGGTGTCCTCAAGGACTCTCTAAAACAATGCAAGTGACCAGCTGTCTGCAAGGAGTATAAATCCTTCCGTTCCCCACCATCCAGTCAGAAATGAAGAAGCATCCTGGATGAGAAGTGAAACGTCTTCAAGGAAAAACAAGAAAGCCCAGTTGCTTTTTTGACAAAGCGCCTTTGGGATCAACCATGACCTGGATGAGTGAGAATCTCCATAGACACCATTTTTATATTTTACCTTCCTTGCTTAAATAAGTCCACAGTCCATATTCTTGTTTAGGTGCACAAAAAGGGGGAAAGACTCAGACCCAAGGAGCCTGGGTCAGGCTTAACGCAAGTTGCTCAAATATCTACAATGCTCATCACCAATAGCTGTTCATTATTTGGCTATTTATAGATTATTATTTTTTTAGCAGAATTAGAGAAGCAACCTACAAC